TCATAGATCCAGTCATGCTTCTTCTATCGTTAGATTAAACTAATTGTTGAATTTTAATCTCAATTTCACTTTATTGGCGGATTGATTACTGCCTTATGCTTGATGTATATGGTCGATCATTGATCTTGTTCCAATAAAATTGTGCGAATATGTTTTAAGTCTAAATTCTAGGATTACATTTGTAAATTAAATTGATTTTCACGATATATCTTCCGATTAGAGTGTCGGGATGAAAGCCTCTAATTGTGCTATAAAAATGAATAATTGATATGATTGACCCAATCCAATTGAGGGAATTCCAACGCTTCACTGCTTCGAATTATTAATTTTAATTTTACCTCTCAACATTGAATTTTATTATACATTTGAGAGAATAATTCAGTTTTTTTGATCCTTTAAATATTCTTCCATATCCTCGTGGATACGATACCCCAAAGCTGCACTACAACTACCGCATTATTCTTTGGGCGTAATCAAAAAGGCATATGATTCAGTAAATTGGGATTTTCTAAAAAGCGTGCTTCAATGGCTTGGATTTCCAACAAAATTCATTGGATGGGTGATCGGATGCATAACCACACCAACATACTCCATTGCACTTAACGGGGGCCTTTATGGATTCAAAAAGGGAATGAGGGGGCTTCATCAAAGTGATCCTTTGTCTCCATTTTTTGTTTGTTATTTGCCTTGAATATTTCTCAAGAATGTTGAAGGGAGCAACCAAAAATAGAGAATTAATTTTCACCCTAAATGTGGACCAATGAAGATAACTCACTTAGCATTCGCGGAAGATTTGATGCTATTTGCTAGAGGGGATGTTATTTCGGTTGGTATCTTGATGGATTATTTGTCCAATTTTGGAGAAATGTTAGGACTTAGGATGAATGTGAACAAGTCTAACATGTTTACAGTGGGAGTTCATGGGCAAGAGTTGGAAGATATTCAACAATTAACCAATATTCCCAAGGGATCTATGCCATTTCGTTATTTGGGAATACCACTTACGGCGGAAAAGTTGAAAATCAGCTTCTATGAATCATTTATCAACAAAATATCGGCCTATATTGGAGCTTGGTCTAACGCTTCATTATCTTATGCGGGAAGGGTGGAACTTGTGAGAACCGTTTTACAAGGAGTTGAATGTTTTTGGCTTTCCATTCTTCCTATTCCGGCTACGGTTGCATCGAAGATTGTTAGTCTATGCCGTAACTTTCTTTGGGCTCCAAGAAGCCACTAGTTGCTTGGAGTTGCATTTGCTTACCAAAACAAGAGGGTGGGCTTGTATTTAGAGGAATCAAATGTTGGAACTCAGCACTTCTTGCCAAAACTCTTTGGAACATTCATTGCAAGGACACTCTTTGGGTGAAGTGGGTAAATCAGATTTTTCTCCATGGAATGGACATTTGGGACTATTCGGCAAGGAAAGAAGACTCCCCTCTACTTAAAAGAGTGCTGCAAATAAGGGACCAGATTGCACAGCCTGAACAGTCTGTTCAGGCCGCACAAGAGAGGATGACGTTCTGGGCAGATTCTGGCAGGTTCATCATCAGCTCTGCCTATGATTTTTTCAGTTTGGAATGCTTCCGTCACCCCTAAACATGCTTTTATCCTTTGGCTAGGAGCTAAGTCCAAGCTTTTAACTAAAGATAAACTTAACTATTTGGAGATTAATCGAGATTACTATTTGGAGATTAATTGAGATTGTAGTTTTTGTGGAGCTACGATAGAGACGATACAACGCCTATTTTTTACTTGTCAATTCAGTGCATCTGTTTGGGGGAAGATCTGTGCATAGCTTGGCATTAGACGCTCTATGTCTACACTACCTAGTGCATTGAAGTGGATTAAAAAGGAGGCTCGGGAAACGTTTTGGCAGAGTAAGGTCAAGCGAATCGCTCTTACTACTACCGTTTACCACTTATGGACTGCGCGGAATAGGAAGATTTTTGAGGATCTAAGACCACCCATAGATCCTATCATTTGTTCTTCTTTTTCTTTTTGTTTGCCCGTGTATGCTCGAAGTATTTATACGTTACTAGCTGCTTGTTCCCTTGGGAGTTTTGATCTATAAATTTTTTACATTTATCGATTAAAAAAATAATTTAAAAAATCACACTGTATTCACATTTAACGCAAAATTTTTCATAACCAATATACAGCAAAACTCTGTTAAGAGGTTTACGTTTTTAATCCATCCCATACCCAGATTTGTTACGGTTGCTGCTATTACTTTCTATGCTGTCAGTTTAATGAGGCTCCCCCCCCCC